CTCACCTCAAGTAAGGTGATGTCCCAGTTTGTTTGACAGTCACCCTTATGAAGGTGATTTACAATCTTAAAGGCACTATACAAATGCAAGGTGTTGTGCGTGCCTGAGAAGGCACCTGGGGCAAGATGAGACTGAGTTGTTGGCCACAAGCCAATATGTGCTCAGGGAGTGGAGAGGTGGCAGGGGCAGTTGTTCCGGGAGAATAAAGTTAGGGGTGGGGTGGGGAGAATGGAAACAGAGAATAAACTGGTTGCTCGATGCGCAACAGTACATTTTCTCATTCTGAAACACAACAAGCCTCTGTGGTCGGCACAGACTCCCACCATGGTACCAGGCACCCTCAAGGGTCCTCTCTGCAGTGACCATCATTGGAGCAGCGATCCAAACAGTACAATTCATTATGGGCAGCACCACAGACGGTCAGAGTTACACTCTCTGTCAAAATCGGAGACCAAGGAATCAGGAAACATTAAGTATTCATCTCACTTACACTGCCAACAGTAATCTACAGCTATTGACTATTGTGAGAGGGGCACTTCAATGTAAATGGGCCTGTCACTTAAATTCCTCACATAGCACACAAGAATTGACTGTTCAAGTGATCTTGCAGCAGGAACTGCGAATATGAGGGAGCATCTGTTCAGCTTTGAGATAGTGGGACCTCATGCTGAACCTCCATGATGGCTTAAAGTAGGTGGCACCAGACCTATGACCTGAGGAAAAAGCCAGGACATTCATCCACATCATTTCCCTCTTCCTCTCAGGCTAGAAGACTCTTAAAGGAACACAGGATTACAGAATAATACAACTCAACAAAACAGATTTACATAGCACCTTCAATGTAATGAAACATCCTCATACCTGACTGTTTTAAAACAAAACATGACACTTAGCCTAAGGTGATGTTTGAAAGGAAGGCCAAAAGCTTGCATCGAAGGGGTAGGTTTTTATAAAAAAAAGTGTGTTCAAGGAGAAAAGTAAGCGAGAGAGGTTTGGTGGGGGAATTCCAACACTTGGGGCCTAGTCATGTGAACCACAGCCATTAATAGTGCAGCAATTAAAACCTGTGAGGTGTACAAGAGGCCAGACTGGAGGAGTGCAGATATCTCGCAGGATTGTGGTATGGAAAGCGATTACAGAAATAGTGAAGGCTGGGCCGTGGAGGGATTTTAAAACAAAGATTAGAATTTATAAAATCAAGACATTGCTTGACTGGCAGCCAATGTAAATCTATGAGCAGTGAATGGGGTGACAGTGGAATGGACTTCAGTGCAAGTTAAGGTGTGGGGCTGCTGCCTCTCTTCCTTCCCCGACATTGAATGTATATCTGCTAACTCAGGGCTCACCTCCCCTACAACCTTTTATTCAAATCCGTAATGGAAATAAAAGCTCCCTTTCCTCTGAAGCACAGTTGCCACACAAACGTGCTGATGGTTTGCGAGCCTCTGGGATTGAGTACCATTGCCCCTAATCTCATTCCAGGCCTAGTGTAACAGAGCAGCCAAGCAGTTAATGCAGCAACAGGTTCTGTGGAACCTGACAACGAACACAAACCAAATTACACAGCACAGTACAACCTCATTAACATGGAGAAATCACAATTGAGGGCTGGCCACTAAAATGAGGTATAAACTCTTCTGGGTTCTGAGGAAGGGTCACTGGACCTGAAAATTTTAACTCTGATTTCTCTCCACAGATGCTGCCAGACCTGCTGAGCTTTTCCAGCAATTTCTGCTTTTGTTTCTGATTTACAGCATCCGCAGCTCTTTCAGTTTTTTTTATAAACTCTTCTTGCTGCAATCTGCCATGAAATAATGTGTTCACATTTGTTCAGGCCCACTCTTTTCTGAAGGACTTCTTTTAAAGAAAATCAAATGGGCTTCAATGAATCTCCCTTCACAAGAGACCAACACCGTGTTTTATTTCTCAATCACTTTTCCTTTCTCTTGGATCTGGGGGAGGGGAAGGTTGCAGATATTTTACTGGAATTTTGTTATGTAGTTGGTAATTAATTTTGTTTCATCAATTGCTCCACATATGTGTTAAGCACAGCAAGAAGAGTCAAGGATCAGAAGGGATTGAAGGAACTACACTGAAGCCTTTTCCTGCAGGCCTCGCTGCCTCTGAGCTCAAAATTCTAACTCCTTACCCAATCTATAGGCCTTGGCTCTGTTCCCACACAACACGGTGACTTCACCTGCTCATTAACATGAGTAAACGTTAGTCTTTAGGTTGTTAGACACATGCTAACTTTCGAGATGGATGGGCAGCCCTATATCAGAACTGCCCTCCTCCACATTATGACTAAATTTTTTTTCTTTCAACTGCCATCCCCACCCATGCCATCTTTCCCCAGGCATAAAATTTCCAGTGGGGGCAAAAGGCAGCAGAAAGAAATCTCTAGAAAACGTCTCTCTGAACTCCTCAGACAGTCAACAATAATCCAGAAAATCACACAGACTAACTAACTGGCTAATTCTACATTAACCATGTATTTATAAATCATTTTGCACTTAATATGCAAGCTATTTGACAAACACATTCTTAGACAGGGAGATGGGTTAACTAATAATGTCAGGAGTGAACCTCCCTTATAACTCAGCAATTCAAAAAAAAAACTTAAATTCAAATTCGAGAGGTACTTATGAAACAGTTCAAACTTGACATTCCATAAATGTAGCGTAGATCAATTTCTTTTGATCCAGTACATGAAGTACCTCAAAAGGTTATATTTACAATGACATCTACATTTCATGTCAAACATTTTCTGATAAATTCAGACCGAGGAGCTTTGTAGAATTCCCCTCCCCCCTCCCTCTATATTATGACAGGAGGGCCTTAGGCAGTGATCGCTCCCCATTTAATCCAGTGACCATTTGAACCATTGAGAGAAAGGTTTAATCTCCTGTCACACCAGGTCAGGCAGGGCTCAGTTGCAGTTACTCCCTTGGTCAAACTACCTGCCCATATCCACACTCAAGGCTTGAACAAGGCACAGGAGTGGGAAGAAAACAAACAAGATGCGAGATTTATAACCAAAAGGAGAACTGCAAATCTCATTGAACATAAAGGGGAGAGATACATTGCTGGGATGCATTTTTTTTAATAATTAAAAATGAGTGCAACTTGCATGAATTCAACTTCATGACAGCAACTATAGAATTCTTTTGGACAGACTGGAGTTCACAGTCAAATTGGGGAAGGTAGGGTTAGGGTTCATTCCATTCTAACCAGGAAGAATAGATGGTACAAATTAAGTTGCAGCGTGATTCCACAGGCCCCAGTTTCTCTCACTGCGGTGCTCTGTAACATGGTCATTTTGACAGTGAGGTTGGACCGACAGATGGAAGGAATCCACAATGTATAAGCACCCAGTCCGACAAACTTGGTCCTGTCCACTCCCTGGCTCTGCCCCCTGCTGATGGTTCACTGGGGTAGTGTCCTGAAATGATTAATTATCCACCTTTCTAACCCAAAGCAGCTAAGGCCTATTGTACTACTGCCACTGATTCAGCAAGCAACACTCGTATCACACAAGTGCCAGGCTACGACCCCAACAAGACTAGAATCTAACCATCTCCCCTTGACATTCAGCAGCCATTGCTGAAACCTCCATCGATAACTTGCTCAGGTCACCATCAATCTGAAGCTTAACCAGATCAGTTATGTCAACACCGTGGCTGGAGGGTGCAGGTCAGAGACCAGGGCATCCTGGGGTGAGTAACCTCTAAGGTGCGCACCCTCTGGGAGGCTCTGCGAATGTTGTTCACCATGCTGACACTTCTGGAAGGCCCGCACAGCAAAAACAAAAATAGTTAGAGGAAACGTTGCTCCGTCTACCCAAAAGCCTGTCCACCATCAACAAGGCGCAAGTCAGGAGTATGAATGGAATCCTCCCCACTTGCCTGGATGGTTGCAGCCCCAACAACGCTCAGGAAGCTTGACACCATCCAGGACAAAGCAGCAAAATAAAATGATGAGTCTGTAGGTTTTGAGGCTCGACAATGGATTAAATAGGGTCCACACATCAACATAGAAACTACCACAATATATAAATGTAGTGCAATATTTCATACTATCAGGTTGACTCTGCAACACCTTCTGAATGAGGGCGAACTCTATTATTGTTTAGAGAGAGGCCAAGATCACTTTCTTAATCAACAGGAGAAGTGGCTTTGCCAAGGTCATCCACATCCAGTGAGGAAAAGAAAACAACAATCATACCAGTGACATAAACTGGTTTGCTCAATCACCATTTCCCAAGACCAATTGTGTACATTATTAAAGAGCCCATATTTCCCAATATGAGTAAATTAGATACTGCTCACTCTAAAAGACTTGTGTTTCTATAGAGCTTTCACCCAAAAAAAAACCTCAATGAGTTTTACAATAGATTTTAAATGCAGTCATTGTCATAATGTAGGAAACACAAAGTCAATTTATGGACACCAAACTCCTAAGTCAATGTTCAAGTATTGACCTGTGATATTGGTTGAAGGATGAACATTAGCCAGAACACTGTGGATAACTCCCCTGCTCTCCTTCAAAACGGTCCACACGAGCAGGCAGATGAAGTTTAACATCTCATTCCAAAACAGAATGTCAAGACCCTGCTCCCTCTGCAACAACAGTTAGTAGTGAGGGAGGTGGGGTGGCTACACAGTGAGAAAATATACCTCATCCTTGTATCCCCGACAACAAAAATCACTGGCACAAAGGTGCCAAGAAACAAAAGGCACCCACAATTAAAGAAAAAGAGTTGGCGCCCAATAACTTCTGGTGGGGTCCACCAAATTGAATAGAGTGGGAGAGGAGACGTTGCTGCTTTAAATTGTGTGCACGCATGTCTATTGAAAAAAAGAAAGAAAGCAAGAGAGAAAGAGAAATGGGTCAGAACAAGGATCTGGGATCAGATCTCTCCCCTCCATCCGCACAGGGTTTGAAGACCTAGTTTTTGAAAGCCCAGTGGTTAAAGGTTACACTCAGGGATTGCTGCTTACCTGGATATAGAGCTGGTGGCGACTCTCGGCTTCAGAGTGGGGAATCCGGGGCCGGCTGCAGTGTTCCCGAGCCTGGGGCACGGAGTACAGGGCAAGGCGCTGTGGGTGGGGGATTCGCACTTTATGGGGGGACGGGGGCTTCCAAGACAAATTAAACAACCCCCCCTCCCCTTCAAATAAAACTCCAATGCAACTGCCCGGCTCCACCACCCCCACCTCCCCAAAAACCAAATTACAACAAACACAGCCGCGGCAGCGAGCAATGGCGACAGTGCACAGTCAATGCCTACAAAGCGCTTCCCCACCCTGGTGCTGGCTCCCTCTGAGGGTGGGGAGCTGAGTCACACTGCAGGCGTTTAAGGTGGTCCATGCAAAGAAAAATGCAAAAAGCAAATTGCAAAAAAAAATTCCCCACCCCAGCATAATAATTTCTCTCCCCTCCTTAAAAAAAATTAAATTCTGGGGGAGATGAATTAGTGCAAGTATCTTTGTGCCTGGTAACATTTGTTGCAATTTCACTCAGCTGTCTGAAGTTGCAACATCTCTCACATCTTCGAGTTCTCAAGATCTGTACAAATGCCTTTACCCGTTTTGGGTTTGAGAGTGGATTGGAGATTTTACCTATTGGTAGCATCAGTTGGTCAGCTTTTTAATCTCCAGTGCGTACCTGCCTGTTCAGATAACAGCTGGTACCCAGGGCATAGTTTACTAACCCAGCCCCTGGTTACACTTTTGTCTCACTTGGGCATTTTGCCGCCTGATATTTTTAATTGCCGGCGCAATTTTGTTTTCTTTCTCTGTTTTTCCTCCTCAACTGTTTGCTTTTACTTTCTTGACAATGACTGGCACTGGTTGCAACTGCACAACAAACAACTTTCATTCGTATAGCGCCTTTCACATCGTAAAGCGTGTTCAGGCGCTTCGCGGGAATGTTGTTGAACAAAATTTGACCGAGGGACATAATGACAGACATACAGGCTTCAAGGAACGTCCTAAAGGAGCAAAGTGAGGTAGAGAGGCTGATGGTTCGGGTGTTTGAACTTAACTGGAGCGATTACAATTCGGCTGCAATTGGACGGACTCAGAAGGTTTGAAGGGATTGGAAGCAAGAATATTTTTGAAATTTTAGGCCAGCAAGCAGCAAGGTGCCAGGTTTTGGAACAATACAGCAGTGTACCTCTGTGTTTGTCCCATCAATACATCAAATAATGGGCAGCCCCGTTGGGCTGCAGAAATTAGCGCTGTTGCCCCAAAAAAGATCACCCACGAGCAGTGCTTGAAGATATATATATATACATAGGCCAGTGTGGAGACACACTGATTTGAAAAAAAAGTCAATCTCCACCGTCAGGGACTATTTGTTCTGTAACAGCATGTATTTTGCACTAGCGAAGTTGTAGCAATTTTGATGCAACATGCACTTTAATAAAAACAGACAATGCTGGAACGATGCTCGACAGCATCAATGGCAAGAGGAATAGGGTTAACATTTCAGGTGTGTGACTTTTCAAATCCGTGAATATTTTTCGTTCTTTTTTTACTTCAAATTTTTAGCACCTTGCAGTATTTTATTGGACAGTTATCACCGCCCAGTGACTTTCCACTGTCTGATGTTTAAATAAAAGGAAAACGAACTGGAAAGTGACTGAGTCTTTAAGCGAACGGCCTTCACCATGTCCCAGTTAAAACTAGGTGATCTTACTTTTAAAATCCATGTGCAAATATGTCGTAAAATATTCATCCCCTTGTCCAGCAAATATAAAGTTGAATTCTTTTGCCTATAGTGTACAACGAAACCTGGATGTTTCCAAAATGCTGTAATCAGAGTGCGATTTTAAGTTTATAAAGAGATTTGACGCCAATGAAGATGTTGCCTTCAAGTTTCATGGACCTCCTTAAGAGGCTTTTTCCCCACCCCCCGAGTGGTTTTGCATAGACTGAGAGATAGTGACGCGTTTCCCTCAGGCTGGGGGGAGGAACAGAGTGAGCACAGACCCAGAGAGAGACAATGTAAGAATGTCTGAGCCAAAGGGGTTGAAAAGCTGAGAGAGTGTAGGCAGAGAGAGAGCGAGAGAGAAAGGAAGGAAAAATGACACACACAGCCAGGCATACACAGAAAGAATTTTAAGTTTCCACCAGATTTAGACAGACTCAGAGACAAGAACAGGAATAAATGTGTTTGTGTATTTGGTAGGCACTGACCAGGCATATGAATCAACGGCAGTGTTTGAATTCACTGCTGGCAACACAGTTAGACGGGAGGGGAGGAGCATTGAGATTCGTAGGGAAAAGGGACAAAGTAATATGCAAAAATGAGCATAAAGAAACAGAATGTAAAGAAGCAAGATTTAGAAGGTCTTAAAGTCTTTTGGTAAATTGTTGTCAAATGCTGCTCAGATAATGTACAGCGTGAAACAAAGTGAAGACAAACAGATGGAAACAGAAGAGGGAAAATAATAACAAATCCTGGAAAGAAAAAAAGATAATTTCCAGCTTTTGTATTGAACTAATTGAAAATAGATATATGTTCCAACATTATGGTTTTATCAAATACAATCAAATTGTAAATTCTAATTAATTGGTTGTTCTTAGGTTTTTTTTGTTCCATATTTACTCCCCCTCCACCCACACACAGTCTAATACTTTCCCCCAACTTTTTGATTAGTAAGCAGGAACAGACAATCCCCTGGATTCCATCAATGCTGGGCCATCGTTATATGTTAGAAACTGCATTGATGTCACTGTATGGACAGCTTCCCATTCTAAGGAGACGCTAGACTATGGAGAAAGTTGTTGCAGTTTTTTGCTATGGCACATCGAAACTGACGATGGAGGAATTCAGCATCGTATCCCCTTCTTATAAGGACCCCTTTCAGCATCTTTAGGTGTCTGTTGCATTCCTCCTCGTCTGTGTATATGCAGGGCTTGTCCGTACGGGATGGCTTCTGTAACATGTTTAGGGTGGAAGCTAGAGAAGTGAGGCATTGTGAGGTTATCCATGGGCTTGCGGTAGAGTGAAGTATGGAGGTGTCCATGCTTAATCGAACCAGGTCCGATGTGCCACAGCAAAAATCCACAATCTCCTCCGAAGACAAACATAGGACACAACCGATAGAGTCCTCTTCGTCATTCTGTACTTCCCTGGAGCACAGAAACTACACCATGTTCTTCACAGCCTTCAACATGTCATCGATGACGATGAACATCTCGCCAAGATCATCCCAACGCCTCCACTTCTCGCCTTCCGACAGCCGCCAAAGCTTAAACAGACCATTGTTCGCAGCAAACTACCCAGCCTTCAGGACAATGTCAACCACAATACTGTACAACCCTGCCATGGTAACCACTGCAAGATATGTCAGATCATCGACATGGATACTACCATCACACGTGGGAACACCACCCACCACATGATACTCATGTGACTCGGCCAGTGTTGCCTATCTCATACGCTGCAGGCAAGGATGCCCCGAGGCATGGTATATTGGTGATACCACGCAGACTCTACGACAACGGATGAATGGACACCACGCAACAATCACCAGACATGGATGTTCCCTCTCAGTTGGGGAACACTTCAGTGGTCAAGGACATTCAAGTTCCGATCTTTGGGTAACCATCCTCCAAGGTGACCTTCGAGATACACAACAACACAGAATCGCCGAGCAGAAACTGATAGCCAAGTTGCGTACCCATGAAGACAGCCTCAACCATGATCTTGAGTTCATATTGCGCTGCATGTGACCCCACCACACTTCTGTATCTGTAAAATCTTCCTCACTGCCCTGTTTTGACACCATCACCTTGATAACTTGTTATGATCTCTGTTCCTTAATTAGTTTGTATAGTTTTGGATTACTTGTTGCTTTGGTTAGACCCTCGGCATGCGACTCTTATACCTATCGTCTTATTCCAGCATTTGGTTTGTCTCCAGCACCACGTGATTTTTAATTTTTTGTAATTATCTCTCTGCCTCATTAATCGGATTATAGGTCATCCCTTCACTTGCTATTCAGCTGTTAACACTTTACTCACTCAGTCTGACACTCATGATCACCTGCAGAGACCTATTAATCAGACTGTCGACACTTCAGTCACACTATTTGTATGGTCTTTTGATCTGTCTGGTTATAAATTCTGTGTCTGTGTGTCTTCTCCTCATCACCTGACGAAGGGGCAGCACTTCGAAAGCTTGTGATTTCAGATAAACCTGTTGGACTATAACATAGAACATATAACAGTACAGGTCCTTCGGCCCACGAAGTTGTGCCGACCTATTATCCTACTCTAAGATCAAACTACGCTGCATACCCTACATTTTACTATCCTCCATGTGCCTATCCAAGAGTCGCTTAAAAGTCTCTAATGTATCTGACTCCACTACCACTGCCGGCAGCGCATTCCACACGCCCACCACTCTCTGTGTAAAGACCCTACCTCTGACATCTCCCCTCTACCTTCCTCCAATCACCTTAAAATTATGCTCCCTCGTAATAGTCATTTCCGCCCTGGGAAAAAGTCTCTGACTACCCACTCTATCTATGCCCCTCATCATTTTGCACACCTCTATCAAGTCACCTCTCATCCTTCTTCACTCCAATGAAAAAAGCCCTAGCTCCCTCAACCTTTCTTCATAAGACCTGCCCTCCAGTCCAGGCAGCATC